GTGATATAGTCATATACCGTATTGTTCTTATCAAATTCATACTATTAATACTATCCCACTACTCTTGGTTAAATCACCACACATCGTTTCAATTTCGATGTTAAAATATACTCTGCAACTAGTCCTGGTAGGTCAAAAGATCAAGTGGATTGCATCGATGCCAGGGGCTTTCTCAGGAGAGTTTTCCAAATATAAATGTTGCAAGTAATACACTTGGATATCAGGCATCATATGGCATCATTGGATGATTGGATACAGTACCATAGTTGGGCATCATGACATCCAACTAAGGAAATATTCTGATTTATGATTATGATTCTGATAGTATATGGAGGTTTCCTAAAATATCAAGGTACCCCCAACTCATCCAACATTAGAGCATTTTCTGGAGCATTTTGGTATTGAAACTCATGGTGAATTGGGGGATCCCACCATTTCAGGAAACCACCTGCAATGATACCTGATATCATTCATTTGGATACAAATAGACGGCCACTGACTGCAGACTGGGGACAAAGCATGAGGCGCATGAGGCTGCAAAGAGCTGCTCATATTGAAGTTGGATCTGTTACAGTACTATTTTTTGTGTTTCCAGGCTATCCATTCAATGTGGGTTAACAGATTTCTCCTCATCTGCATTCATTTGCTGTTTCCACACTGTTCAATGCAAGTCAAGGCAATTCTGTGATCAAAGCAACCAAACTGATGCTGAGACAAAAGGCGTTGGCATCATCATCACCACCACCACCACCATCATCATCATCATCATCATCACCACCGCACCGCTTGTTTTCTGCACAACACTGGTCATTGGCCAATAAGCAAAGGAGCTACAAACATGGATGGGCCGGTTGGAGCCTCAAACTCTGGTGAAAGGTGAACACCGGTGTAGCTGGTAAATAGCAATCTACGCCTTTGTCATTACCAGTCCATTTCATCTTGTAGCAACCAATGAATATAACAACCCCGAGTTTCCCTGTGTCGATGTAAACAAATGTCTACATATATCCATATGTATATCAAATAATAATAATAGTAATAATAATAACAATAATAATATAATATAATATATATGTATATATTGTAATGTATGCATGAAATATGAATATATTACAGTAATAGTAATAACAGTTAGAGCAGCCCCCATTCCCAGCTGTTATTACCGTGCATCATGGAAAAATTGTATATCTATATCTATATATATATATATATATACATTATTATACATTGACATATACTACGGGATCTTGCTGCCAAGATCCAACAGATCTGAACAGTCTGATACTGATATAATCTGATATATATATATATACAAAGTTATACAATATAGACATTACGACAAGGTACATCTATGATAATCTGATATGATATAACATGATTTTTTTGGATCCCAAATCGTTAGACAACATAAACACACAAAAACCCATATTAGTTAGACCTGAAGACAACGTCTTTTTCGCCGGCAAAACTTGATGGGGTTTTAGGTCAGATTTGTGCAGGATGATAGGTAGGATGCTATAATGCGGATGTTTGTAAACATAAAACCCAGGTTTGATCAGTAGTCAGAATCAAAAACTAGCCCAGGGTAAATGAGTCATTGGGATTTCTGGGAGATTAATTCAACATACTTGAAACACAAATGCCAGTGGGCTCATTGTACAACTTAGTGCTCAACTTAGTCTAGCCAGCAAAGCTTGCGACTTTGGACCCAACACAAGTGGCGGCTGCATCTTTGAAGCCCAGCCAAAGCTGCCACTGTATTTTTGGCTCAAACAGGCTGACGGATGATACATCATGAGCCATAGAGAAAAGGTTAAGTTATATTCCCAACTTATGGGGGTTATAAATATAACATGTTATATATATTTAAATGGTAGCTTTCTTTTTCCTAAGAATCACCCTGCAGCCTAGCTGAAGGCAGTGCTCAGAGTTTCACGATACTTTTGAAGAAGCCATCAGGCAATGTCTCACTTGTCTCTTCACTGGGAGGGTTCCTGAGAGGCATTCTGGCAAACTTGCCGACCGGGGTGCTGGAAGAAAGCCCACAGTTTACCCCAGGGGAAAAAACACATGGTAGACATTGATGCATTCTGGTGCTATTTGAGAGACATATACTCAGGATATAACACTAATTACTTGGATCTATTTGGCATGTACGGCTGTATATGTGCTTGGAGTCAACTAATGCAACCGGTCTCCTTTGTGTCAAGTCTGCGGGTCCAACATGGATATGTTGCGAGCGATTTGGCACATGGTCCCACAAGCACTCAGGGTGGGAACGCTAAACAATGATAGATTACCAAAACCTCACCGCGACAAGTTCGGCCGTTTGGGGATACTCACCCAACCGCTTCGCCATCATGTACCCTTGAGTGCCTGCTCATCCGTTCCCGTTGCTCCCGTTGCTCTCGTTGCTGTTGTTTTTGCAGCTTTCGTTGCTGGTTCTGCTCCTAGGCCCCAAGCTGGGCAGATTGCCACGGCGAGCAGTTCGTCCCCTCTTCAAGATGGTGGATTGACGGGGCTCCGGGAGTCCATGGTGAATTATGATCATCTTCACTCAATCAGTTAGTTAACCAGCTAATTCCCATCACATCCTACCATATTAATAAACATCAACCAACAGGCTTCCACACTTGGGACCCAGTTCGAACTGGGCCAAACCAAGGCCATGGCCAGCATGTTTTGAGCAAAGAGGTCCTGGCACAGCAGGGTTCCAACCATGAACCTTTTTGGGGTGGTAGTATCACTACTTAACCACCAGCAGGTGATAATTCGCCCCCACCAAAAAAAGGAGCCGCAATGAACAACTCCACAGGTCAAGTTTGGTGATCACATCCACCTTGAAACGCCGTGCTCACAATTCTATCCAAATCATTCCAAATCCATGCAACCTTACAGTACTCTCCAGTAATCATCCCCACTTTACAAAAGTTGATGTTTTTCCATGTTTTCCCAAGTTTTCCCACTAAACCTCGATGTTTCGTTCGGGGAGGAAACCCCACCTGCAAGGGCGGTAGCTGCGGTTCAGGCAGAAGTAGCCCCTGACCCTCCAAGGCCCGACTGGCCCACTCAGGGCTGCCAAAATCCGCGTCCTGGCATCGGAATTATAATGGTTTATAAACCAACTTAGCTATCTTGGGGGCCCCAGCCTGTGGGATTTTGGTGATTTTGGGATACTCCATCTTCGGACTAACAGCTTCTTAGACTTGTGTCCAGCAGACTCTACCAAACTTTGCTGTCATATCCCAGGCGTCACATTTCACCCGGCCAAAAAAAGTTCAGCCGCTGTTCAGCCTGCACTGCGGGCTGTTTCGGCGCTGGATGAGACCTCATCGGTGAGGTGTCAACCAAGCTGTGCTGAAAAACTCCACAGTAATCACAAAAAGTACCCCTTGGCAGCTTAACATAGCAATGAAAAATACCCATCCTGAATACTAGTATGTAGATGTAGGTAGATCATGTATGAATGGTACACAGCGCATACATACATATATATATATATAGGATCAGGTCTAGTGACTGTACATCCTGCTATCGGGAGTATATACTTTTTCTGGAGTACGACAAAAAAAAGTATCTACTCGCTATCGGCGCAAATAGCTTTGTTCAAAAATACGGTATCCCAAAATCCACTGGTTTATGATATAATGGTTTATCTATATTTTCTCAAGAAGAATTGACATTTTGGGACATACCCCCTATTCCTGGGCAAAGCCAAATTTGACACTGAGAGTACTAGATCCACCACTGAGACCCACGCTTGCACTGAACATCTTGGGGCCTGCGTGTAACCAGGCGCAAACACGACTGACTGCTGGCAGACAACATGGGATCTGAAAGGAACCAGAAGTTGCAGGGTACTTCCGATTAAAAAAAAACACACAAACTACGGTGGATGGAAGAAATCCGGCACCAGTTGATAGGTGGTTTATCCCACTATTTATAGGGTTTCAACGTGTTTCAACCATCCTTTTGGTGGTGCAGGATTTCGCAACCATCCACAGTATGAAAACACCTCCGATTTTGAAGGTCCTACTCTCCGATTCCTCCTGCCTAAACCTGAGCCCCAGGCCTTCGAAAGGGGAAACTCTGCTGCGGCGTGGGCTCCTAGTGACAGGTCACAGGTAACTTTTTCCTCCAGCCTGGGAATGCCCGGGAGGATACAACCCTTGCTGACATGGAAAAGAATAACATGACTGACATGACTTATCAATGGGATATATATAAAACATATATTATAATATAATATATATATATATTATATATAATATTATAATATATATATATAATATTATTATTATTGTTATTATTATTAGTATTATTATTATTACTATTATTATTATTCTTATTATTATTATTATTATATATTAGTATCATTATTATCATTATTATATATATATATTATATATATTATATTATATATATTATATATATTATATATATATATATTATATATATATATATTATATATATGATATTATATATTATATATATATATATATTATATATATATTATATGTATCATATTATATATATATTATATTATATATATCAGCTTTTAGATGTTCATAAAACTCAATCAGCACCAGACCGTTTCCTGCGATCTTCTCCGAGTCTTTGGTGGGACAAGTCTTCGGCTGATTTTTGCTGTACACTGTACCATCCTAGAACTATGACACTGCGCCTGAATGGGAGGCCTGCGGAGGGCAGTTCCAACTGTACTCGAGAAATGCAGAGGCCCTCTGGTGAGCATTTTGAGGTATGCGATTGAATCAAGATATCTTTAAATATCTTAAAAATTCTCAAGCTATGTCCGTGGTATATCCCAGATGTTTCTTCACTGCGGTGATCCTCTGCCCCAAAAGGGACAGTGAATTCCATTTGCATTCTTGTCTCAACATGATTGATATGGATTAACCCCCAGCCATCGCAACTGGATTCTGATCAATTTCTATGGGACTTTTCAGGCTTTCTGCCAAAAAATGTCAGGTACCAGAGGCTTAGAGTTTGGGCCTGGCGACCGGAACTCCCTCAGGGTCGTTGCTCCGCGCCGTGCTTGCGACGTGCGTCCGCTTCGGCCGTTCCGTCAGGGTCAGTTTGGTGGTCAGCTTCTCTACACGGCGCTGGCGGCGAAGAAACGTGACCTGTGGAAAGGTGGCCGAAATCGGAAGGGTGAGATGGTTGGTGGTTGAGCCATCTTTTCAACTCAAATATCTATGAATTATACATAATTTTACATAAATATCCCCGCAACTACTGCCCAGGGACCTTGGGAAATCACTTTAGACCCTAGAATCTAGGGTCTTGCATCCTAATCTCTAGGTAAAAATGGCAATTTTCTTCGACCATGCTAGACCCCCCCCTAGGGATGCCGTACCAGGGGTCTAACATCCAAGTACCGCCTAGCTACTTACCATAACATGAGGCCGGTATTAGGATTGTAGACCCTTGCCCTGGCCTACACCCATTTGCCTACCTAAATGCCTGGAAAATAGTCTTATAGATTCTTATAGTGCTGTAAATCATTGCAAGTCATTGCGAACCAACATCAGACAGCCAGGCTCACACAAAGATCAGCTGTTTTTTTTCCATCTGCTGCGTCTTGATCTTGAGTCTCGCGTATCTTCAGGCAAAAGAAAGCCTGCGGCATCATGTGAAAGCTGCCAAAGATCTATGAAAACTTCCGCATCTCGTCCATATGTTCCCAAGCATTGAACCAATTGGCCTCAACACTAGAGGAGAAAAACCCCATACAGCCAGATTTGGCCGTAAACCCCTTTTCGAAATCGAATTTCTCGAAATCTACTCTCTAAATCTAATTAGTCAGAATCAGACTCTTCAGAGTCTTCTGCGTGCTCTGCCTCCAGAGGGCCATCATCCTCCTCAGCTGAGCCATACTCCTCTCCATCCTCCTCGGCGTAGTTGTCTGTCTCGGCATCTTCTTCTGCATCTTTCTGGTCCTCAAAAGCTTTCTTGGATCCCTTGGTGGCTGCCAATTGCGTCACAGAAACCGTCCACACCAGTTCCTGAAGCTGTCTGAATCGGTAGGACTGAGTCATCTCCTTTTCAATGTTCGTGAGCCACGTGTGAACTTTGGCACCGTAGTCCACTTTCCGTCGCACTTGCACAAAAAAATTGTCGATGACATGTGGGGCTTTGAGAAGAAATTCATCAAGGCTGATTTTGCCTTCCGCACCGTTGAATTTCCAGCTGATGATTTTTCCATCCAAGTCCAACATGCTTTTTGCAGGAAAGCGTTTGGACTGTGAGGTGAGCAACTTGGAGCATTCCTGCACGATGAGTTTGCGTCCTTTTTTGGTGCGCCTGAAGTTGTCCACAATCGGAACAATGAATCTGGGGCCCAACTTGGCTTTGGGCATTGGCGTGGACTTTGTTTTGTCCGATGGGTCCCCCAACTCAATGTTCATCTCAGACAACGCCTTCAAAGCTTTTCTGCTCGCCTGCATTTGCAAATCAAAAAAAACAATTGACTTTTGGAAGGCCCCTGGCTTAGATCAAGGGTCTTCGATGGTATTCCCCAAAAAGTATTTATTTCATCGTTGATTTGGAATGCAACATTTTCACCTTAGACCCCATGGCTACTACAAAACAGCTCAAGAACTTTGCCTCACTTTTGTGGGACCCTAGCTTTGCAGGAGGGTCTGAAATGGCATTCTCAAACCAAAAACCCTGAAAATTAATGGTGTTTACATGGGGGATTCCATGTCAGACCCTTACCCCCTATCAATCATTCAAAATAGAAAAAGGTTTCCTCCCTTATGCAGGCCCCTGGCTAAGATCAAGGGTCTTCGATGGTATTCCCAAAAGAAATATTTATGTTATCATTGATTTTGAATGCAACATTTTCACCTTAGACCCCATGGCTACCACAAAACAACTCAAAAACTTTGCCGCACTTTTGTGGGACCCTGGCTTTGCAGGAGGGTCTGAAATGGCATTCTCAAACCAAAAACCCTGAAATGTAATGGTAGTTACTTGGGGGGTTCCATGTCAGACCCTCACCCCCTATCAATCATTCAAAATATATAAAGGTTTCCTCCCTTATGCAGGCCCCTGGCTAAGATCAAGGGTCTTCGATGCTATTCCCCAAAAAAAAAATTATGTTATCATTGATTTGGAATGCAACATTTTCACCTTAGACCCCATGGCTACCACAAAACAACTCAAAAACTTTGCCGCACTTTTGTGGGACCCTGGCTTTGCAGGAGGGTCTGAAATGGCATTCTCAAACCAAAAACCCTGAAAATTAATGGTGTTTACATGGGGGATTCCATGTCAGACCCTCACCCCCTATCAATCATTCAAAATATATAAAGGTTTCCTCCCTTATGCAGGCCCCTGGCTAAGATCAAGGGTCTTCGATGGTATTCCCCAAAAAAATATTTATGTTATCATTGATTTGGAATGCAACATTTTCACCTTAGACCCCATGGCTACCACAAAACAACTCAAAAACTTTGCCGCACTTTTGTGGGACCCTGGCTTTGCAGGAGGGTCTGAAATGGCATTCTCAAACCAAAACCCTCAAATGTAATGGTGGTTACTTGGGGGGTTCCATGTCAGACCCTCACCCCCTATCAAATTCAAAATAAAAAGGTTTCCTCCCTTGTGCAGGCCCCTGGCTAAGATCAAGGGTCTTCGATGGTATTCCCCAAAAAAATATTTATGTTATCATTGATTTGGAATGCAACATTTTCACCTTAGACCCCATGGCTACCACAAAACAACTCAAAAACTTTGCCGCACTTTTGTGGGACCCTGGCTTTGCAGGAGGGTCTGAAATGGCATTCTCAAACCAAAAACCCTGAAATGTAATGGTAGTTACTTGGGGGGTTCCATGTCAGACCCTCACCCCCTATCAATCATTCAAAATATATAAAGGTTTCCTCCCTTATGCAGGTCCCTGGCTAAGATCAAGGGTCTTCGATGGTATTCCCCAAAAAATATGTATGTTATCGTTGATTTGGAATGCAACATTTACATCTTAGACCCCATCGCTACCATAACGCATACCAAAAACAGTCACCAGGCCTCATCAAGCTTCACACGTGCTCCATCAATTCCTGTGAGTCTTTCCCCGACCAGCTTCAGCCCGACTGCATCGTACTTCACATTGCTGCAGAGGCTGGTCGAGTTGCACCTGTAGACATTCTCAGAGCCTTCTTCCAAGCACAAGCCTCATTTGATAAATGAAGCCACAAGTTGAAAACATCATTTGAAAAATAAAAAAGACAAAGATTGTTCGCAGTATTCCGAAAATCCAAACACAATACATCATTGCAAACTAATTATTTCAAAGACAAAGTCTTGCTGAAGACAACACATCAGGCCACGCACTGCACGAATTGCAGCAAGGCTACCTCGTGAGAGGGTGCGAGGGCACAGCTGTGCTGAACCAGGCCCTCCTTTGAAGCTGCGCCATATGCTCATCACCAGGCCAGGAACCCATTCCTTTCCCATCCGCACTGCCACAACATCTCCACGGTCGATTGTGACATTTTCTGGGAGTGTAGGGCAATGATCTGCACGAGTCTTCTCCATGTGCTTGATCCATGCTTGCTGGCGCCCTTGACGAACAGCTGGGGCCTTGGAATCAGCATCGAGGAGGGAGATTTGATGCTGCACCAAATTCTGCCACTTCTGTGGCTGATGCAACACCCTCTGCCTGCTCAACATCGGCTTGGGAAGCACTTCCACATCTGAGCCAGCTTCACCACTGCGGAGAAACCACAGGAGTCGCCAAAGATCTCCCATTGCTGACTCAAGGTTCTCATGACCAGCCAATGCCTCACCCAGGGTCTTTTTCCCTGAAGTAAGCCTGAACCCTGCATGTTTCTGTTCGCTGGCAGAAGTGGTAACTGGCCGGATCACTTCATCAGTGGCATCAGCTAGTTTTGGATCTTCGGGCTTCTTGCCTTCTGAAGGTTTCACCTTCGCTGCTTCAGGGTCCTCTTGGAATGCATGGCTTGCTCTGATGCGTTCGAAGACACTTGAAACCTCCGGTGCTGGAACTTCCTGCTGTTGCACATCACCTTCAGGTGGTAGCTGGCAGCCATTGGTTTCAAATGATGTTTCAACATGTTTCAACATGTTGGGTAGAAAAATGTAAAAAACTAAAATGTGTGCAACATGATGTACCCATCTAATTTCCTTCATCACCAAGTCCGGAACCACCTGCCTTCTTCTTCTGAATCTGGATCATCATGAGCACCACGTGCATGAGCACAGGACATGTTGAAGGCCGCTTGGAGATCGGCGCGTGTTTTGTCTGAACACATTGCCGAGAGTTTGAGAACTGCCTGGAAAGCTCTGGATGCTGTGGAACAGAACGTGTTTTGGGTCATGCCCTCATTTGGGACGGCCTGGTGAGGACGTTGCTTCTCCTGCCATTGTGTGAACTCTCGCTGCATGCAGTGGAGACTTGCTCTCCAATAGTCACCTACACTCATGGCAGCATTCGGGTAGTAGGATCGCACACGCCCAAATCGTTTCTCAAGGTTCCGCTCCGTGAGCCGCTCGAAGCATAGCGGAGCTTTGCATGCCCAGCAAGCCACAATGACGCTGCAGGCGACATGCCTCATGATTCGTGCTGGTCTTGCATCAAGCCACACATCACGCAGCTTGCAGCCAGTCCTTCTGGCTCGCTCCTTGGCCATCAACTCACCGAAGTCCAACATCAACAATCCTGAGTCAAGCTTTATACTCACAAGGGTCTGATATGGCAATCTTCGGTAGAAAATTCCACAATTCCAAAGCAAGGACAAAGGTATGATTATGTCAGACCCTCTCACATCAAAAAAAATGTCAGTTTCCATGAGTTTTTAGACAGAGTCTAGGGTCTAAACTGTTTTCACTGCAGCTAAGAACCATAATTCCAATTTCTGCAACATGCAAAAAAGCAACCTAGACCCTTGCAGATGAATTGGACCATGACAAACTTGCGTCCACATGAAGCTATATATACACAACAACTTCCAACATGCTTCTGCCAAGGTGCCTGTCATCGCAGTCTCCAGCCGCAATTGCAGATCGAGATCAGAATGCAGCAGTGCAGCCTGTATGTGCGCACCAACCAATGACAGCACCATTGAGCCCTGCAGGCACCAAGGTACCTGCAGCCTGGTGTCGTTCGGATCGAAGACAAAGTTGGCCGGTGACAGCCTGGGCAGAAGCATATGCACGTATCTCACAATATTACATCAATGTTTGGGGGTCTAAGGTGCTATCCTGGAAAGCACTGCTACAGAAAAATAATGGTAAGGCTCCAGTACTTCCATTTTAGACCCACCAACCCCAACGACATCTAATGACATTGATGAATTTTAAGTTATGTTCAATGGATATGTTGGGTCTAAAATGGTATACTTGCTAACAATGATATTAAATGATACTGGCAAAGTTGCACCAAACCCATTTCAGACCCATGGGTTCCAAGATATGTTTAGAGGGTCCATGAGGGAAGTCCAGATCCTAAAAGAAATAATTATTTGCTTTGCCTTTATATTCCATCTTACCCGATTTCCATCACTTGCATATAGGATTCAGGGTCTAAAATGAAATTTTCCTTTGTATTGTCACTTAAAATCCTGATTAGGTTGCAGCACCTGCATTCCAGACCCATCAAACCTAGCCCTAGCATCCAGTGAACTTCCAATGGGTATGTTGGGTCTGAGATGGTATTCTGTAAGCCTTGCCTACTAATGTTTGTTGTCAGCTTCCGGTATGATGATTTTAGACCAAGCAATATGAAGATAACCTGCAAAAGAACCACTAAACATATAGACAAAAGCAATCATCACCCCAAGATCCTGATAATGGAGAGCTTGAAGCCTTAAACTGCCCCTGAAAGTTTGCAAAATGCCAAGAAACCACAGCGCTGCCTGCTTGTCCGACATCGTGTCTGTCCCGATGTATGATGTCGGGAAGAGGCCCAACTCGAGCGCGGAGCTGTGATCGCACCACTTGTTGCCAAAGTGGACCGTGCCCAGGCAGCTCCTCAATTGAGAAACAATTTTTTTTTGCATGTGTGCAGGACCAGGCCACCAATGAATGCTTTCGCCCTGGAAGAGCGCGACTCTGGCTCCAATGGGGAAGCAGCACATGGGTAGGTCTTGAAATTTCAGTTCACCAAAAAACGGCACCAATGACTTCAGTTCGTCAGACAAGGCAACCTCAAGGCCCAGCAGCCACCGGCCCAAGAATTGGTGGGACCCATGTGCGTCGGCAATCACATGTTTGATGCTGGGACTTGCTTTCAAAACCTCGCCCATTCGACATAACACTTCCCAGTTGCCTCGTTTCCGAAGGTCTGCAGCTGCTTCTTCAAACCGTTGGTCACGGCATGCTGCAGAACAGCATGGATAAGATGCCAACTCAAACGTTGGGGACTTCTTTCGGGTGCAATCCCAGATGATGCATGCCTCCATGTCGTTTGCCAGAGTCCGGTTCTTCTTGAGCACCACCTTTGTGACTTCGCCAGAAGGGCTGCGGAGAACTGCTTGAGACTCGTCTGGGACCTCGAACTTCTCAGGCCTGTGTGCACCACCCAGCATGACGTGTCCTTTCATTGTAGTAGCCAGTTGGCTGCATGCAGTGATGTATGTGCGGTCGAAGCACATTACCAAGCGCCTCTGCGGGCAATCGTCTGACCTTCCAAAAAGGCACGAGATGACATGGTCATTCTGCTGGATCCTGGGACTGTCTGGTGCAGTATGAACTGGTAGACCCAAACTTTCAATCTTGGCTAAGCACCCTCTCCACTCATTTCGGTGAATCCACTGAAGTCCGAAGAACTCTAGAGCCTGGTGGTTCGCTCCATTGGCTGAAAGTTCTGCACCCGCCTGTATCAGCAATTGCCTCTCACTTTCTTCTCCTGAGCCATTGCAAGTGCACCCAAGAGGAGGGAATAACTTCATCTCAGATTCGGGTTCAGTATGCAACAGGTACAAAGAGGAGGTCTAAAATGATGCTCTCCAAGGGTTTGCCAGAGATGTGATTATGGTCGGATCAAACAACTTCCATTTCAGACCTTACTGCCCCAAACTGCACCCTTCCCACTAAAAGGGAAAGATCAGAGCTGCTTCCTGGCCAAAAGGGCTATGGGTCTAAAATGGTAATCTGGTATCTATGACTCATAAAAAAACATGGTCAAACGTTGGCATGTCCATTTCAGACCTTATTGCCCCAAACTGCACCCTTCCCGCTAAAAGGGAAGATCAGAGCTATTAAAGTTGCTTCCTGGCCAAAAGGGATTGGTGGACACTATGGGTCTAAAATGGTAATCTGGTATCTATAACTCATAAAAAAAAACATGGTCAAACGTTGGCATGTCCATTTCAGACCTTATTGCCCCAAACTGTACCCTTCCAACTTACAAGGGCAACAGCACAAATCATGGCTATTCAAATTGCTTTGTGGAACAGTGGGGTCAATGGATACTAAGGGTCTAATATGATACTTTGATAGCTATGACCAACATAGATTCATTCCCCAACTGCAGTACTTCCATTTCAGACCCTTGCATCCAAAACTCTAACATATTCTAACTTTCCCCAACATCGCCAGCCAAGTCTCTATAGCGGTTTCTCATTGTGCTCTTGCCTTCTTCCCAGTTTCTCAACTTTGCCATGCATCCAACCAAGACTCCCTGCATGGCAGGGTGCCTGTTGAGCTTGCCGGTGATAATGCTCTTCACCAAAGTTGCATCCAAAGAAGAAGTGTTGGGATCGTTCATCATGAAAGCCATGAGTCGCTCGATTGCCTTGTGCTGAACAGGATGCCCTGGCTCTGTGTCCAAGCATGGTTGAATGAATTGGGCAAAGAAGAGGTTCATCGCTTCTGTATTCTCCTGTCCCATGCGCCCACGCCAAACGCAGCCAACACGATGATGCAGTGATTCTGCATCCTTGGCAATTGAAGCCTCATACATACACCTTGCTCGGTTCTGGTAGTTGGCGGACTCCCTCAACCCAACCAGGAACTCTTCCAGTGTCTCCTCCGCAAACATTCGGTGGTACAGCAGCCTTCCTTCGTCCATGGAATGGACAAATGCCGACACCTTGTGAAGGTATCGTTGCTGGCTACCCAGGCTGCAGCATTCTTCACACACTTGGTCATCTCCATCAACATGCACCTGAACCACAAGGATAACCAAAAAAAACAAATCGTTTAAGAACATCAAGAAGCATCCAAAATCTTCAAAAACCATCACGAACCGGAAAACAAACGAAGCACCAATGATGAAGTGCAAGTTGCTACAACATTGTCCTTCTTGCACTTGGCTGATCTAAGAATCCAATCACCAGTGTTGCAAAGTGCCGTCACTGAATGGCAGGCATTGCCAGCAGGCCCGTCAGGTTTGTTCAGGTTGGCGTACTTGATGTACTCTTGCCATACCGGGAGCATTGATGAGCCCAGCCGTGTCTTTTGCCCAAAAGATGACAAGAGGCGCAGTCCTTTGCAAGTGCCTTTGGTCACACCCCTAGCCACTTCATCCATTGGACTCACATCAGCCAAAGGTTGAAGGCTACTTCCGTAAACATCTGCTGTCCACTTTCGACGATGTTCCAAACCGTTGGTGTGTTGCGCCACCTTGGCTCGATTTCGTCCTTCAAAGATGCAGTTGCAGTACTTGCACTCGACAGGGAATTTTTTCCCATTCGAGTTCTTCTCCAACTTTGTCAACCGATGAAAAGCTAGGAGTTCTTTCAGGCCCATGGTGGTTTCCATCGGCTCTTCCTCCGCTGGTGCCGGCTGTTCTCCAGGACCGGGATTGGGTTGCTCTGCTTTCTCTACTTTCACCAATTGACCAGCAGTGCCTGCCGGCTCACTCTTCACCTCTACCTTGACACGCTCAGCCTTGATGCCTTTGGCAGGTGTGCTGGCTGCTGGATCGCTCTCCAATTGGTGGACCTTGCGCTTCAATGCCTTCAAAGGCACCTGGCCACGAAGAAGCTCAGAGTCAAAGGCAGGGATTGGTAATGAAAAGGTCTACAATGGTATTAGTTTACCTATGGTGTATGAAAACCATGGTCAAAACCAATTGTTTTCCATCTTAGACCCATCCAGGTGCATCAGCACATATATGCAAGATCAAACAATATAATACGAATATGTTATATTTGTTTATATTTGCAAACTGGTGGGTCTAAGTTTGACTACCGTGTGCCATGGCTTCACCTAACAACGGGGAAGCTCCTGCAACATGATTTCAGACCCATCAGTTCTAACAATGACTTTCCAAAAGACAAAAGCGATCGACCCTGCACAGGCACTCGCCCTTGGGTCTCCAAAATCTTCAAATCCTTGTCCACTTGCTGTCGGACAGCAGCAAGACCAGCAATAAGCTCCGAATGGCCCAGCTTGCGCCGCTCCAAGGTTGATTGGCATGTGGCACAGTCAGATGGCCATGCGCCCTTGGCCTGCAGTGCTGCACCAAGGAGAAGGCCACTGTATCTCCCCCAGAAAAAGATGCAATCCCCATGTGATGGGTCTAGGTTGGTTTTTGCTACCCATTGGGATATCGAAAAAAGATTTGGGGGTCATGGCAAACATGTCTAGACCCCTGGCAAAAGGCCCAGCCCTTAGCTGGATGCCCCCCAAAATCAACACATATTCCAAAAATATCCCCATGTGATGGGTCTAGGTTGGTTTTTGCTACCCATTGGGATATCGCAAAAAATATTTGGAGGTCATGGCAAACATGTTTAGACCCCTGGCAAAAGGCCTAGCCCTTAGCTGGATGCCCCCCAAAATCAACACATATTCCAAAATATTCCCATGTGATGGGTCTAGGTTGGTTTTTGCTACCCATTGAAATATCGAAATAATATGTGGGGGTGATGGCAAACATGTCTAGACCCCTGGCAAAGGGCCCAGCCCTTAGCTGGATGCTCCGCAAAATCAACACATATTCCAAAATATCCCCATGTGATGGGTCTAGATTGGTTTTTGCTACCCATTGGGAATCGAAAAAAGATTTGGAGGTCATGGCAAACATGTCTAGACCCTTGGCAAAAGGCCCAGCCCTTGAATGGATGCTCCTCAAAAACATACTCATATCCCAAAATATCATAAAATATCCCCATGTTATGGGTCTAGATTGGTTTTTGCTACCCATTGAAATATCGAAATAATATGTGGGGGTGATGGCAAACATGTCTAGACCCCTGGCAAAAGGCCCAGCCCTTAGCTGGATGCTCCCCAAAATCAACCAATATCCCAAAATATCATAAAATATCCCCATGTTATGGGTCTAGATTGGTTTTTGCTACCCATTGGGATATCGAAAAAAGATTTGGAGGTCATGGCAAACATGTCTAGACCCTTGGCAAAAGGCCCAGCCCTTAGCTGGATGCTCCCCAAAATCAACCAATATCCCAAAATATCATAAAATATCCCCATGTTATGGGTCTAGATTGGTTTTTGCTACCCATTGGGATATCGAAAAAAGATTTGGAGGTCATGGCAAACATGTCTAGACCCCCGGCTCTTGCCCTTTCCTTGAACGAGCCACTACTATGTCCAAGAAGTCGTGCCAAAAGCCCGTGGGGCAAACTTCTTTGCCACGCCTCAGCCAGAGTCTGTAGGGGAGTACGAGGATGGGTGACCTTCTTGTATCTACTTACGGCACTCTGCATTTCCAAATTCAAAACGTAGAGGAGCCACATTCTTGCTATCCATCGTCATGGCAAACCAGTTTACATCCCCTATAGCACCTGCCCCAGCCCTTGGATGTCAAGGAACGGCAAGTGCACCCCAGTTCTCTTGTGCTCTGAGATCCACTCTCGGTAGGTCAAGCCTCTCTCGGCAAGGAACTTGGGGAAGTAGTTTTCAAACTTGATGACTTCAGATGGAGCTCTCGGTTTCCCTGTAGGCTTCGCCTTCTTCTGCGGGGGTTCTCCTGCTTCGACAACAACTTCTTGCATCTCTGGCTCGCCTTCCCCGATCGCAAGAAGTTTGCCAGGAGCAAAGCTCTTCGGCGGTGTCACTGAAGCTTCTCTGTTCTGCTTCCTCTCGCCCCGAGGTGGGGTAGCTATTGGGGTGCATGGCGCTGGCTGGAGCAACTCCTTCCACTGATCCATATTGACTCGATTGCCCACGCATTTCTGCCAAAGATCCTGCCAGAACTCCAATTCACTCACTTGTTGCCACAGCCGCTGGAGCTCTTTCCGGTATGCTGTGATGATGTCCAGCATGTCTCCTCTTGATGCCATCTCTCCCTGTGTCACAGGAGTGTTCTCATTGAAAGACAACAGCATTTCAATGCCACAGTTTCCGTCTCCGACTGTTCCTTTGGCTGCAATTCTGAAATCATTCCATAGAGCCAACTGCATCTGGGTGAGGTTGTGGTGGCTCGATGTGATCCTGTCCACCTCCTCAGAATGTGCGACCTTTCTGACATAGGCCTCCTCACTCTTTGATGCATCTGCCGGTGGGCTCCCCAGCTGTTCAATCCTCTTCTGCATTGCACACTCGCTGTCCTTGCACAACTGGTCGAAAAGGTCTGGAGGGTCATCGGCTGATCGAAGCCAACCAGGGACCCAGTGCACACAGCGCTCGATGCCCACATCACCAGCATAGTCTGCAGCACACAAGATGCCAACACGCTGGCTCTTCTCAGGGTCACCACAAGGGTTTTCGTCAGCCTCACCTCCATCTGCAGAGCCCAAGATCTCCCTTGCAAACTTCATTCCATCTTGCACTTGCTTTTCACCTGTCGGCTAGCGCAGGAATATTGAAATCGGAATGATAAGGAGCCTTCTGTGCCTGCTAGAACCAACTATGGTAGATGAAGATGTGTCCATATCTTTCTAGAAAGAGCCATATGTATAGCAATTTTGATCGTGAACATTTTGTCAAGATGGACCCCTACTCTGAAAACTGACTAAGTGACACCACCAAACATGATGGATTTCGATGAATTTTGCCTAATTCTGTTGATTTGGAAAAGCAACGACTCATGTGGCCTTCGTGCCACACGAGGATCTGCAAGGGAACGTTCTTGGAGTAACAGTAGAGCAGCACATCTGGAAACTCCAGCCACTGGTTTGGCATGCTGCAGCGCAATCCCCACGCCAAGAGATCACGAGAACTCACGCCGCCTGCGACAGCAGTCACATCCCCAGTCATCCCCACATGATGGGGTCTGGAATGGTTATTGGTAACCTTGGACGATCCAAAAAATACCTTGAAGATAATGGAAAACCAGATTAGGCCCCTACCAATGGCCCTAGCCCTTGAATGGAAGTCCCCCAAAATTAAGCCATATCCCCACATGATGGGGTCTGGAATGGTTATTGGTAACCTTGGACGATCCAAAAAATACCTTGAAGATAATGGAAAACCAGATTAGGCCCCTACAAATGGCCCCAGCCCTTGAATGGAAGTCTCCCAAAGTTAAGCCATATCCCCACATGATGGGGTCTGGAATGGTTATTGGCAACCTTGGACAATCAAAAAAATACTTTGGAGATCATGGAAGACCAGATTAGACCCCCTACCAATGGCCCTTGACTGGAAGCCCCCCCCAAAACTAAGCCATACCCCCACATGATGGGTCTACACTGGTTCTAAGCAACCCTTCTCGAAGATAAATAATCGTTAGAGGGGGTGGAAAATGCAGTTAGACCTACAACAAGGGCCTGACCTGATAGATTCAAGGCCCTTCCCGGCACCAGCCCATCGCCCAAACTTGCTGACCATCAGCTCAGACCTTGCCTTGTTGTTTGTCTGCCTCGCTAGCACCTGCCAAAAACAGTCAGATTGGATAAGACTGGCTTGGGTCCCTGGTTTCCCCTGGTCATGCCTAGTTCTTGAACCTACATGGACCTAGCAGATCCTACCAGCTTCCACTAGTAGGGAACCCAAAAAAATACATGTGTCTCCACATGATGGGGTCTGGAATGGTTATTGGTAACCTTGGACAATCAAAAAAATACTTTGGAGATCATGGAAGACCAGATTAGGCCCCTACCAATGGCCCCAGCCCTTGAATGGAAGTCCCCCAAAATTAAGCCATATCCCCACATGATGGGGTCTGGAATGGTTATTGGTAACCTTGCACGATCCAAAAAATACTTTGAAGATAATGGAAAACTAGATTAGGCCCCTACAAATGGCCCCAGCCCTTGACTGGAAGTCTCCCAAAGTTAAGCCATATCCCCACATGATGGGGTCTGGAATGGTTATTGGTAACCTTGGACAATCAAAAAAATACTTTGGAGATCATGGAAGACCAGATTAGACCCCCTACCAATGGCCCTTGACTGGAAGCCCCCCCCAAAACTAAGCCATACCCCCACATGATGGGTCTACACTGGTTCTAAGCAACCCTTCTCGAAGATAAATAATCGTTAGAGGGGGTGGAAAATGCAGTTAGACCTACAACAAGGGCCTGACCTGATAGATTCAAGGCCCTTCCCGGCACCAGCCCATCGCCCAAACTTGCTGACCATCAGCTCAGACCTTGCCTTGTTGTTTGTCTGCCTGCTAGCACCTGCCCCAAAAACAGTCGATTGCCTAGATAAGACTGGCTTGGGTCCCTGGCTTTCCCCTGGTCGATGCCAGTTCTTGAACCTACACGGACCTAGCAGATCCTACCAGCTTCCAATAGTAGGAACCACAAAAAAAAATTACAGGTTATCTCCACACGGCTGGGGTCTGGAATGCGTTATTGAGCTAACCTGGGACCAAACAAAAAACAGGAATGGGGGAGAAGGAGACAAGACAAGAGTAGAACACCAGGCACCAATGGCCCTTGACTGGAACCCCACCCCAAAACTAAGCCATACCCCCACATGATGGGTCTACACTGGTTCTAAGCAACCCTTCTCGAAGATAAATAATCGTTAGAGGGGATGGAAAATGCAGTTAGACCTACAACAAGGGCCTGACCTCATTGATTCAAGGCCCTTCCCGGCACCAGCCCATCGCCCAAACTTGCTGACCATCAGCTCAGACCTTGCCTTGTTGTTTGTCTGCCTCGCTAGCACCTGCCAAAAACAGTCAGATTGGATAAGGCTGGCTTGGGTCCCTGGTTTCCCCTGGTCATGCCTAGTTCTTGACCCTACATGGACCTAGCAGATCCTACCAGCTTCCACTAGTAGGGAACCCAAAAAAATACATGTGTCTCCACATGATGGGGTCTGGAATGGTTATTGGTAACCTTAGACAAACAAAAAAATACTTTGGAGATCATGGAAGACCAGATTAGACCCCCTACCAATGGCCCTTGACTGGAAGCCCCCCCCAAAACTAAGCCATACCCCCACATGATGGGTCTACACTGGTTCTAAGCAACCCTTCTCGAAGATAAATAATCGTTAGAGGGGATAGAAAATGCAGTTAGACCTACAACAAGGGCCTGACCTCATTGATTCAAGGCCCTTCCCGGCACCAGCCCATCGCCCAAACTTGCTGACCATCAGCTTAGACCTTGCCTTGTTGTTTGTCTGCCTCGCTAGCACCTGCCAAAAACAGTCAGATTGGATAAGACTGGCTTGGGTCCCTGGTTTCCCCTGGTCATGCCTAGTTCTTGAACCTACATGGACCTAGCAGATCCTACCAGCTTCCACTAGTAGGGAACCCAAAAAAAATACATGTGTCTCCACATGATGGGGTCTGGAATGGTTATTGGTAACCTTGGACAATCAAAAAAATACTTTGGAGATCATGGAAGACCAGATTAGGCCCCTACCAATGGCCCTAGCCCTTGAATGGAAGTCCCCCAAAATTAAGCCATATCCCCACATGATGGGGTCTGGAATGGTTATTGGTAACCTTGGACGATCCAAAAAATACCTTGAAGATAATGGAAAACCAGATTAGGCCCCTACCAATGGCCCGAGCCCTTGAATGGAAGTCCCCAAAATTAAGCCATATCCCCACATGATGGGGTCTGGAATGGTTATTGGTAACCTTGGACGATCCAAAAAATACTTTGAAGATAATGGAAAACTAGATTAGGCCCCTACAAATGGCCCCAGCCCTTGACTGGAAGTCTCCCAAAGTTAAGCCATATCCCCACATGATGGGGTCTGGAATGGTTATTGGTAACCTTGGACAATCAAAAAAATACTTTGGAGATCATGGAAGACCAGATTAGACCCCCTACCAATGGCCCTTGACTGGAAGCCCCCCCAAAACTAAGCCATACCCCCACATGATGGGTCTACACTGGTTCTAAGCAACCCTTCTCGAAGATAAATAATCGTTAGAGGGGATAGAAAATGCAGTTAGACCTACAACAAGGGCCTGACCTCATTGATTCAAGGCCCTTCCCGGCACCAGCCCATCGCCCAAACTTGCTGACCATCAGCTCAGACCTTGCCTTGTTGTTTGTCTGCCTCGCTAGCACCTGCCAAAAACAGTCAGATTGGATAAGACTGGCTTGGGTCCCTGGTTTCCCCTGGTCATGCCTAGTTCTTGAACCTACATGGACCTAGCAGATCCTACCAGCTTCCACTAGTAGGGAACCCAAAAAAAAATACAGGTATCTCCACACGATGGGGTCTGGAATGGTTATTGGTAACCTTGGACAAACAAAAAAATACTTTGGAGATCATGGAAGACCAGATTAGACCCCATACCAATGGCCCTTGACTGGAAGCCCCCCCCAAAACTAAGCCATACCCCCACATGATGGGTCTACACTGGTTCTAAGCAACCCTTCTCGAAGATAAATAATCGTTAGAGGGGATGGAAAATGCAGTTAGACCTACAACAAGGGCCTGACCTCATTGATTCAAGGCCCTTCCCGGCACCAGCCCATCGCCCAAACTTGCTGACCATCAGCTCAGACCTTGCCTTGTTGTTTGTCTGCCTCGCTAGCACCTGCCAAAAACAGTCAGATTGGATAAGGCTGGCTTGGGTCCCTGGTTTCCCCTGGTCATGCCTAGTTCTTGACCCTACATGGACCTAGCAGATCCTACCAGCTTCAACAAAAACTAAATGTGTCTCCACATGATGGGGTCTGGAATGGTATTGGTGGTAATCTTGGACAATCAAAAAAAATACTTTGGAGCATCATGGAGACCAGATTAGACCCCCTACCAAGGCCCCCTTGACTGGAAGCCCCCCCCAAAACTAAGCCCATACCCCACATGATGGGTCTACACTGGTTCTTCGCGCAAACCCTTCTCGAAGATAAATAATCGTTAGAGGGATAGAAAATGCAGTTAGACCTACAACAAGGGCACTGACCTCATGTGATTCAAGGCCCTTACCGGCACCAGCCCATCGCCCAAACTTGCTGACCATCAGCTCAGACCTTGCCTTGTTGTTTGTCTGCCTCGCTAGCACCTGCCAAAAACAGTCAGATTGGATAAGACTGGCTTGGGTCCCTGGTTTCCCCTGGTCATGCCTAGTTCTTGAACCTACATGGACCTAGCAGATCCTACCAGCTTCCACTAGTAGGGAACCCAAAAAAAAATACAGGTATCTCCACACGATGGGGTCTGGAATGGTTATTGGTAACCTTGGACAAACAAAAAAATACTTTGGAGATCATGGAAGACCAGATTAGACCCCATACCAATGGCCCTTGACTGGAAGCCCCCCCCAAAACTAAGCCATACCCCCACATGATGGGTCTACACTGGTTCTAAGCAACCCTTCTCGAAGATAAATAATCGTTAGAGGGGATGGAAAATGCAGTTAGACCTACAACAAGGGCCTGACCTCATTGATTCAAGGCCCTTCCCGGCACCAGCCCATCGCCCAAACTTGCTGACCATCAGCTCAGACCTTGCCTTGTTGTTTGTCTGCCTCGCTAGCACCTGCCAAAAACAGTCAGATTGGATAAGGCTGGCTTGGGTCCCTGGTTTCCCCTGGTCATGTCTAGTTCTTGAACCTACATGGACCTAGCAGATCCTACCAGCTTCCACTAGTAGGGAACCCAAAAAAATACATGTGGAAATACAGGTGTCCCCTCATGATGGGGTCTGGAATGGTTATTGGCAACGTTAGACAATAAAAAAAACATTTTGGAGATAATGTAAAACCATATTAGACCCCTATAAATGGTCCCAGCCCTTGAATGGAAGGCCCTCCACAATTAAGCCATATCCACACATGGTGGGTCTACAATGGTTTTGGGTGAGTTGCGACGAAACCAAAAAACATTGATGGTAATGGGAAATATGTTCAGACCCCAGCCCTTGGGCCCAACCCTTGGGTGGATGTCCCTTATCACCCTTGACAGACCAGCGGGCAGAAGCTTTTTTGTCGTGTCAATGCTTTACCACCGGGTGCTTTCCAGGCTGTCCAGCCTCAAAATGTAATCTGCACAAGTACCTGCCTCAACTTGTGTCATTCACCTCAATGGTCTCTACTCTACTGCTCCTCGTCCACATGAGTCAATGGCTCCAAGCCACAAATGCTCTCGAGTCGGCACAAGCGAGCTTCGAGGAGATCCTCACTGATAACCGTCTTCACTGGAACCTTCACTTTTTCTCCACTCATCTCCAGGCGCTCAATCATGAGAGTCACAAAGTGGATGAAGATAGCATGTTCCTCCTGAGGCGACTTCTCAAAATGTGACACCACCCAGCCAACCCATGACTGGTTTGTATCCCACATGTGAATGAATGTAGAGCCACGGCCTACTTGGCCGAATGCCACCTTCATCTGCTTGAGCTGGTCGAGTGAATACTGGTCAAAGTTCTTGCCACCCTCATGTTTCTCCTGTACCTGAACCTTCTTCAATCGCTGGTAGAGGCTTGATGGCATGATTGAAGGCGAAATCGGTGAAATTAAATCGGTTGGCCCAGGTGCTTGAGTCTCAGATTGCTGCTGCTGGACATTAGCATGGGTCTAGAATGGTTAATGCAAACCATTCATTGGTCCCAATCATCAACTCCACTCCAAAATAACCTTCCTAGACCCATGGAAGTGGCCCTCACCCTTTGAATCAAGCTGCTGCCCCCATGGTGGGTCTAGAGTGGTTCTTGGAGGGTCACGAGGAAGCAAAAGAATCGTTGATGGTCATGGAAAACATGTTTAGACACCAAACCCTGGAAGTTTCACATAACCAAACCGCATTCCACTATATTCCGATAAGAAGGGTCTAGAATGTTTGCTGTTATCCCTTGGTATATATAGAAAACATTCATGGTACCGTAAAACCAACTTAGACCCACAGCATGGATGCTCCCACCCTTAGAAAGATACACAGTGATGTTGAAAAGGCAACAAACCCAGCCTCCATTCCTTTCCATCAAGGCATCCTGGCGGCCATGTGATAGATGGTTCTTGGCACTTGTGCTGAAGGAACATCGTTTTCACAACTTGTCTGGGGGATCTGATCAACTTCATCTGCTAGTATCTGACTTGAAAAACATTGAAATGGATGTAGATTCTGGTGTCTGTCAGAACTGTTCAAAATTCGGTTGGCAAACGGCAAATGCAAAGGCCAACGAAAAATTTAAGCACAATGAAGGCCAGCTGAATTGGCGCCTTTTGACCGATGCACCTCACACCTGCAACCAATAATCTAGGCTAACTTGGAGCAGCTCAACAGGAACAAATGCTATGGCACCTGAGGCATCTGTGCTTTTCTCACAGCGCCTGGTCTGAGTTCCTTTGCTGCATCCAAATCTTGAAGATTTGCAAACAGAATCGGCGCGGCCACTTTGCCGTCAGCCCAAGTGCTTTTTTCCCGTGCACCCGGGTTCTGCCTCCCTTAGAATCCTTCTTGTAGTACTTGGCCGCATTCCTTTGGCATCGGATCTTGGTCTTTTTGCTCATCTTAACAACAAAGCTGTCGCCCACCATGTCCGTGAGGACCCATGTAGCCTTTTGAAGAGGAGATCCCTTGGTTCCAGGTGACCCACCACACTATTTTCAAGGCCTATTTTAAAAACACTGCAACCCTGGGATATCCCAGTGCAAAATAGTGAAAGGACATACTTGAAAGATTCTTGATGCCTAGTTACCCAGTGGCCCAAATACGTCAGGTACTTGTGCAACCCGCGCTCCGCAGCCAGCTGGATAAATTCCTCCAAGCAAAACATCCAGGAACTTTTTGGCTGTTCAACCAAGAGGGAGAAGGTGCGGAACATCTGCAGGCAACTCAGCGCAGCCACCTGCCAACGAGACAGAATCTGGGTGGCAAAAGGGCCATGCACGGGAGCACAGCTTGTGACGTGCCCATATAAGCACTTTACATTTATTTAAAAACTCATTGGGACATAAACAAAATCTGGATATAGATGGATTATAGATGGATATAGCACACACACGCACACATCTTATATAGTTATAAGTATACACATAAATGAGGTCAAGGAATTGTTTTGGCGAGACCCCTACCATATTGAGGACAATCCGGTTCGACAATCTCACTTTGAAGCGAGTAGTGTCCCCGAGAGGTCCGAGAAGATGTCGGAGATGCACTGAGCAACTGAGGAAAATGCTCAGGCTACAAGGCGGAGCACATGTGATCAAACCACCATATGCTAGGCACATTCCCAGCCCTAGCAAGAGAAAGACTCCCCTGCGGCTGGTAATGTCGTGCCGCTTTCGGTCTAAACGTATGTCGTAGGATGCGCAAGGCATGGTGCCCACCACAGCTTGCATCCCTTTACCATACGAAAAGACGTCCAAAACCTGGAGCCAACGATGCCCACGCCAATCAGCACAGTACTTCCGCATCTCGTCCATATGTTCCCAAGCATTGAACCAATTGGCCTCAACACTGGAGGAGAGGACATCATCCTTCTTCCGAGATGCAACACGCGGCATGGCTTCGCAGGTTAAAAGGTTCCTCGAAGATTTTCTAGAAAAACAATAGCACCCTTCATGCCATAACAATCCTTTGTCCCTATTGTCTCATGTTGTTCCGGACAGGTTGCGACAGGTTCTGAGATGTTTTGAGCAAAGGGGATAGGGGAAAAAATGCAAGCCAGCGGATGACAGATACCAAAAATAACAAGCCACAAGTCCAGAATCATATTCAAACAGTATTAACAAGTTGATACAAATTGTATAGCTTTGCATTGCTGTCGTCAATCATCTTCCAGCACATCCCATCAAATGACCCTCCCCACTGATGGAATGTCCTTTGTCTTTGAAGATGGAGTGCCCGAGCCCTTCGCTGCAGACTTGCTGCCTGAGAGGCCGCGATGAATTTGAATATGCACTATTGGATTTTTGTTGCATATATACTGAATGTTGTGGGCTAGTGCTTTGTTAAAGGGTCTGAAATGGTATTCTGACACCTACTCCTTCAGATATAATCCGTGTCACAAGCAGATTATATCTTTAGACCTTGGCCTACTAATAAAAATATAGTTTCTCATAGCATCTCACAGCTCTTGTGGGCTAAATTCCTGGCTAGGGGTCTAACATGATCTTCTGGCACCTAAAAACTAAAACAATGTATTGTATCTCTAAGGAAAAAGACATTAGAACCCCTTTCCCACCAAAGAATGTCTCTGGTAGGCCAGTAAACTGACTTATGGGTCTACTATGATTGTCTGAGACTTGAAGCCGATGGTATCCATTCTGACAGCTTTCAAAATAACATCTTAGACCCCTTCTTTAAAATCCCAGCAGCGCAGTGGCATCACAGATCATTAAGTTCAATAAAATCAAGCACTAGGTTTAAAACTGGCAGTAGGTGAGCTATAAGTATATCCAAAAATCACATTGTTCTATGGCTATGGGTCTAAAATGGTAATCTGGTAGCTATGACTCATCAAAAACATGGTCAAAGATTGGCATGTCCATTTCAGACCTTATTGCCCCAAACTGTACCCTTCCAACTGACAAGGGGAACAGGACAAATCACCTGAAATTTTGAAAGAAACAAAGTAGGATAAACAACTGCACAGTTGACTCCTCGACCAAAACGCTTAATAGCACCCCGAACAACCCAAACTCTGTAGCGCCCTGCCAGCAGCTTCAGCTGCCGATTCGTCCTGAGTGCGCTGGGCAGAAGCACGACTTTGTTTTGTTTTTGTAAGTATATACAATACATACAAGTCTTGTGTCAGTCCGATAAAACACTGGCAATGTTGTCTTGAAATGGCTGCTGTCAGGTGCCCCACATACCCCATCAGATCCTATCAAATCCCATCAAACCCCATCATATCCCATCATATCTCCAGATCATTCCAGATTCCAGATCACCATACATTTCCACCCCGCACCCAAAATGTGCCTTCTTTCCTTCTGACAAATCATTCCCACTGCTGTTTGAAGCCGCAGTCTTTCCTCAAATGGCCATGTGGCTGCTGACTAAGGTCTACATTGGTTTCCTCTCACCCAATTTGTCTCCAAGTGATTCCAAAGGAGGGAGACAATGATTTCAGACCTTCCTCACTGCAATCCATGTAGGCAAAGCAATACCAAATCGAGAGGTACCACATGGATCCACATGGTATATTGACAGAAGAGAACAAAGAAATACTTGTTTCCAACCATGGATTCAACATCTTTGACCTTGAATTAAAGTTGGCAATAGTAAACTCCTCCGAAACCAAAAAACTACTACTCCGAATAACAGTGACTTTCTGGCATCTACTGGCAACATCCTGTGGAAATCGAGAGGTACCACATGGATCCACATGGTATATTGACAGAAGAGAACAAAGAAATACTTGTTTCCAACCATGGATTCAACATCTTTGACCTTGAATTAAAGTTGGCAATAGTAAACTCCTCCGAAACCAAAAAACTACTACTCCGAATAACAGTGACTTTCTGGCATCTACTGGCAACATCCTGTGGACCCCGGCCGACTGCGTGACCTGTCGATTCATCCTGGTGAGCAAGCAGTGCAACAATTGGGTGACCAAAATGGGGCCCCAAAAGAGGAAAGCACACTGCAGGTCTTCGATGGTATTCCCAAAAAAAATATTTATGTTGTCATTGATTTGGAATGCAACATTTTCACCTTAGACCCCATGGCTACCACAAAACAACTCAAAAACTTTGCCGCACTTTTGTGGGACCCTGGCTTTGCAGGAGGGTCTGAAATGGCATTCTCAAACCAAAACCCTCAAATGTAATGGTGGTTACTTGGGGGGTTCCATGTCAGACCCTCACCCCATATCAATGATTCAAAATATATAAAGGTTTCCTCCCTTATGCAGGCCCCTGGCTAAGATCAAGGGTCTTCGATGGTATTCCCCAAAAAGTATTTATTTCATCGTTGATTTGGAATGCAACATTTACACCTTAGACCCCATGGCTTTCACAAAACAACTCAAAAACTTTGCCTCACTTTTGTGGGACCCTGGCTTTGCAGGAGTGTCTGAAATGGCATTCTCAAACCAAAAACCCTGAAAATTAATGGTGTTTACATGGGGGATTCCATGTCAGACCCTCACCCCCTATCAATCATTCAAAATATATAAAGGTTTCCTCCCTTATGCAGGCCCCTGGCTAAGATCAAGGGTCTTCGATGGTATTCCCAAAAAAAATATTTATGTTATCATTGATTTGGAATGCAACATTTTCACCTTAGACCCCATGGCTACCACAAAACAACTCAAAAACTTTGCCGCACTTTTGTGGGACCCTGGCTTTGCAGGAGGGTCTGAAATGGCATTCTCAAACCAAAACCCTGAAATGTAATGGTGGTTACTTGGGGGATTCCATGTCAGACCCTCACCCCCTATCAAATTCAAAATAAAAAAAGGTTTCCTCCCTTATGCAGGTCCCTGGCTAAGATCAAGGGTCTTCGATGGTATTCCCCAAAAAATATGTATGTTATCGTTGATTTGGAATGCAACATTTACACCTTAGACCCCATCGCTACCATAACGCATACCAAAAACAGTCACCAGGCCCCAAAAGAGGAAAGCACACTGCAGGACAAGGAGTCACCTGATCAAACATCATAAAACCATGTCTACCTGGCCTGCCCTTTGAACATATTTTATCTTTTCACTGTATCTGTCTGATCTCATCTGGTTTCATCTGTATGTCACATGACCCATATGGCACCTTCTTCATATCCGACGGATTCTTCCCACAGCTCTTGTCAGCATCCTCACTGCCTTGGGGATCGCAGACAATGAAGTATCATGTAAGATCATGGAGCATTTGCATCCAAATACATCTAACACGAATATATCTGGAAAGTGGTCATATTCATTTATATTCTACTGAAGTCTGGCCAGGGACTGGGGAAACACTGCAAAAGTTTTGCTCAACTCACCCCTTCCCCTTCCATCCTCTTCCACAACCCCTGATTCTGTGTTCACAAACTCGCTGTCGGAGGTGGCGTCGATTCATCCTAGCCAGCGATACTCTACAAAGACTGCATGCGAACAGACAAAGGTCTAAAATAGCAATTCCATCGAAGACACTAGCGATATCAAATACAATTGTTAGAGTGTAAACATGTTAGACCCCTCTCCTCTCCAATAAAGCCTTCTGTCACCCTGTATCCATTTTGTGGGTCCCTCCCTGGGCCACTGGGTCTAAGGCCTGGCTACCCAACACAAGACTACTGGTTTCAAAAAAAATGGATACGATAAAAACATCTTAGACCCCTCTCTGATCCAATAAAACCTTCTGCCACCCTATATCCATTTTGTGGGCCCGTCCCTGGGCCAATGGGTCTAAAGTCTCATTGCCAAACACAAGACTATTGGTTTCAAATGCAATAGGTGAGGTAAAAACATCTTAGGCCCCTCTCTGATCCAATAAAACCTTCTGCCACCCTATATCCATTTTGTGGGTCCCTCCCTGGGCCAATGGGTCTAAAGCCTCATTGCCAAACACGAGACTATTGATTAAACATGCAATAGGTGAGGTAAAAACATCTTAGACCCCTCTCCTCTCCAATAAAGCCTTCTGCCATCCTATATCCATTTTGTGGGTCCCTCCCTGGGCCAATGGGTCTAAAGCCTCATTGCCAAACACGAGACTATTGATTAAACATGTAATAGGTGAGGTAAAAACATCTTAGACCCCTCTCCTCTCCAATAAAGCCTTCTGCCATCCTATATCCATTTTGTGGGTCCCTCCCTGGGCCAATGGGTCTAAAGCCTCATTGCCAAACACGAGACTATTGATTAAACATGTAATAGGTGAGGTAAAAACATCTTAGACCCCTCTCCTCTCCAATAAAGCCTTCTGCCATCCTATATCCATTTTGTGGGTCCCTCCCTGGGCCAATGGGTCTAAAGCCTCATTGCCAAACACGAGACTATTGATTAAACATGCAATAGATGGGGTAAAAACATCTTAGACCCATCTCCTTCTTGAGTTTGTTCCTCAGGGACTTCGACCAATTCGATCGCTCCTGTCGCATGGGATAGTGAGAGGCATGCATGACTGACATGTGAATGACTGCAAGCCAGAGACAGCAAATGTTTGCCCTCCTTTTTTCAAATAATTCTTTAGTGAAAAAATGTGTGGATGGACATCTTCGCCCTGCCCAGCGTCCTCAATTTTGGGAATGACACCCAACCATTCCCAGGCAACTCCATCTCCAGGCCTCAAGGAGTGCAGTTGATTGTTGAAAACAAACACCTGCCTGGCCCAAAAACAAATTATAGGAGCAAAATTCGCTTGCCTACCAAAAGCGGGACCAAGGAAAAGAAAAATGGGCAAAGCAAATCAGAGTGTCGTGAAAGCTTCATGCGCCGATGGTCGGCATGGATTTTTCATGGTAACAAAAATCTTGCTACATTTGCTCCTATAGAGCTGGAGATGGCTGTCCCACACCACTTCCTTTCCTGGCTCCCCACACTTTGTGCAGGGAGGTGGTGCTGGTGGTTCCTTCGGCTGAGCCATTTCCAAAAATTTGAGCCAAAAATGGGCTCCGCAAGCTTCCACATTGATCATGGATTCCAAAAAGTTGTGCTGGTCAAAAATTGGAAATTGTTGCCTCCAAAAGTTGTGGTGACAAAAACATTGCAAAAAATTGTCTTTATTTTTTTCTTTCCGACGAAAATGAACACCAAAATTTGTTATTTCTGTTTTGTCTTGCTTTCTCCCATCCCCGGCTCTGTGGCAGCTTCAAACTAGTTCGCAATGCTTCCGAGTTTTGGAAGCCAACTTCAGTCATGTGATCCACAAGTACTGAATATATTGAATTCTGGTGAAATTTTGGATGAATTTTCCCTGTTGCATTTAATACATATTTAAAATAATAGATAAAAATTATAGGTCAACATCACAAAGGTCTAAGATGGAAGTATCTAAGCCAAAATGTTACGACATTCAAGGGTCTAAGATCCTAATACCACCACCAATGGGGAGGGTCTAAGGTCATAGGGGTCAAAGGTCTAAAGTGATTCTTGGACCATGTTAGACCCTGGTGCTGGAAATCCCTAGGGGTCTACCATTCCAGGCCCTCAGTAGTTGAGGGTATACATAAATTATATTGTAATAAAGGTATATATAAATTATGCTATATGATATGCACAGTGTACTGAAAAAGTTATATGATTCATTGGCTTGGGATCATCCCGGGTAATTATACGCGCAAACACCCCATGTCACCCACATCCTTCTTGACTTGGGAAGATCATGGAAGATCAACAAAGGTAGTAGGGAATATAAAAGTCCCACCCGCGGTAAATTATACAATCATTTGGGAAGATTAACAAAGGAATTAGGGAATATAAAGTCTCAGCTACATGCAACAATCATGCAAAAACCACAAGAAACAGCAATAATCTGTCTAATGGAGATACAAGACTTTATTTGAATTGAAAACAACATATTATGACACGGATGCTATCCAGTCATATCCCAAGTTCATCTCCATATTTTAGCAGGTGGAATTCAACTTTTTCATGGTCACTCTCCAGTATATAAATCACTGCAACAAAATGCAAACCCACCATTTCCAGATCATTTTCCGCACGGAAAACCATTGGTTTTCCATAACTATATATATATATGTTATTATATGTTCATTTGCTAGAAGGTAAATCACAATTTTGGCTAGGTAAATCAACCAGGATTTGCAGATCTTTCCTAGTTGAATCGTTGTGACCTAGGCTGACTCACCATGATTTTTCGGGCATTTCATGGTCCAATCAACGGGCCTCCACCGTCTCGCCAATACCTTTGTCATCCACCAGTGCCGCGATATCATCAGAGGATTTCACCTCCTGGAAATGCCATCCGTTGGGGCTATTCGGGCCATTCGGGCCATATTCAAGTACCAAAGCCCAAAAAGATGAAACTGCTTCTGAAGCTCCCCCTATCAGACTATCATATCGCATCAAATCCCCAAAAAATTGGCTTTTCTTGCCAATTCTTGTTGAGAAATGTGCCCATCCCCCCAGATCCCCCAGTCCTTCCCATCCACCGCCAGAATCTCATCGCCCAGTAGGATCCCCTGTTGGCTTTGAAGGGTAGGCCTCAGCCCTGCAAGCTCTGCAGGGCTGCCAGGCTCAACATTGAGCACCTGCATGGATCAAGGATGAAACACTTTGAAACGTTGGGACGGCACATCTCATCTTGATATTTCCTTGCCCAAGCAGTTCCACTTCAACCAAAAAGTTTTTAGTTGTCAACTGCGATCTTCAGCATTCAAACTCACAATGAATTCCCAACGATTTCGCCAGCACAAAACTGTCACAAGATATTTCAATACTATAGTTACTAGATCCATATAAGTCCTCTATCCATGACAATTGTTTCCAACTAAACTGGGTGTAACATCCATGCATCAACCAACCATGGTTTAACCAGCCGCGGCACGAGTGCCCCTTGGATCCGTGGCATGCCCTGTCGCTCCAGAGATCTGGAAAGTTTCTCTGTCCACTGATCCATGCTCAAGTAGATCCCCATCCAAGCATGCTTGGCGTGGCCGTACTTGATGATTTGCCTCAGAAAAGTTGATGAAAAGCCATGGCAGCCATGAATTTAGTGTAACAATGTGTAACATACTGTAACCAGGCCTTGGAGCAGTTCGGCAGTTGCGGCGAATGTCTGTTTGTTGCTTGTGGTCGAGGGACATCAAGAGAGTTTTGTGATGTTCGATTTATAGATTATGATTTATATATATTATATTGTATACATATATACATATATATACATATGATTATATATAGATTATGATTTATATAGATCATTTATATCTTATATATAAATTATATATATATGATTATAGATGTTGTTCCCATTCCAACCTCCATTTCCTTCACGGATTTCGCCCCATCTTTCCAGGGGACGTCACGATTCGGTTCACCGTATCCGATGGAATGGCAAAGCCAACTCCAGCGAAGGCACCAGAGGGGCTCGCAATCATAGTGTTCACACCTTACTCGCAATCATGGCTGGATTGTCAGTGGTGTAAGTGCATATCATCAATATATATATATAATCAATAAGATACAACATGATTTGAGTACATGGTTGATTGTCAATATTGATTTCTGACATTCTCTAAAGAACATGAATATGTTACAGCCTTCTTTACTGTAGCTTAGATTAACATGCGTTGCGCATTTCACAAACCTATGGAAACCGCATTCGCTCTTGACACTAAACGTCATGATGCAGGTGCATATCTGAGATTGTTCCCGCATTTCCGCATTTGCTAGAGCTAACCATGAAAAAACTGAGATGATATGCATGGCGACCCAATGACCGATGAGATGATGTTACCGAAGGAAAAAACCAAATCAAGAAGAATAACAATGCGATGAATAATAACAATGACTATACTATAATATCATATGATAATGAGGAAGAGCAGGGTATGTATGGCCCTCATGAAAAGGCTGGGAGTACTTTTTTTTGTGCCCATGTTTTTCATTGTTTACATCCATAGATCACCACATGTGATCACATATCGTTCTGTATCATCATGTGCTATAATCTATATCTCTCTATATATAATTAAGTATATTATAAGTTATCTATGTACTATACATGTTCTCATTTCATCATCATAACACGATATAGTGCCACGATTTGCCATGTATCATTGATCATCATTTGTCAGGTCACAAATCATCATTTTTCTCATCGCGTCTTATCATGTCATAGAATCATTTCATGCTTCACCTTATAATATACATAATATAAGTTCGTTTGAGAATTAGGTATCCCCAAAATTTAATCGTGAATCATCATGTTTCCCATTAAATGGCCAATCTGGAGAGTCACTACGAGAGTCACTACTACTGGCATAAGCTATTTCCAGGTACCAAACTCGTACAAAAATCAACACAATACACCCATCCCATCCCACTCCACTGGTCGATTTAACTATCGTTATCCGATAATTCTCTGGCTAATCATATCCCCTCAGAAAACCACACAAAAAAGAAAATACCATCTGGTTATTTAACATAGCCATGGAAAATGACCCATTTATAGATGGTTTGCCTATTAAAAATGGTGATTTTCCATGGCTATGTTAAATAACCAGATGGTACTTCCTGGCTCCTGGCTCAAAAAAAACCATGGCGCCTATGAATCGTCCCCGGGCATCAAGTAACGGTCCACCGCTGTTGCCAGGGTTGATGGCTGCATCTGTCTGCACCAGACCGCGCATCATGCGTCCGGTGACGCCGCGCATCTCGCGACCCAAGCCACCTACGAGGGAAACGGGGGAGCCGGGGGGAAGGTGGTGTGGCTGTGGTAATATTATATTATATCTTATATTATACATTATATTGCATTCATTATGCTATATCATATCATATCATATTATATTATATTGTATTATATATATTATGCTATGTATATATGTATATATTCATCATACTACATTAAGATTGTCTATATGTGTGTATGTGTATATGTCTTTGGCCACCTGGCCACCTTGTCACCCCGGACACACTAAATGGCTGGGTTTATTTCCCCATTTTGTTCTATGACTTTCCCATTGAATTTTTAGAGGACAAAGATATATATATATATATGTTAGTATCTTTGAATATCTTCAAATATTCAATGGGAAGGATTATCCCATATATGACATGGAAAATAAAAAAATGTTCCAAACCACCAACCAGTCTTGAAATATTTAACATGCCCATGTTTAGCTTAAAGATCCTTAAATAATCTTAAAGGACCTTTACTTTCCAGCTTTGAACCAACAAATGCACGCCCGGCTTCCTTGGATTCCTTGGCCGAGTCACTGATGATACCGTTGGTTAGAGTTTGATCTAAACCAAATGGATTTCCAATGGCAAAGACCTTCTGACCAACCTGCGCTGGGCCGGAAAAAAAGTGCGAAAGCTGGGCATGCTGGGCATGCTGTGAACACCCGACCCCGCTTTCGTTGGTAAATTGATGTACAAAACATGGTATTGCAACGTTTGAAGAATCTTCTCCAAATAAGTGGTGTCAACATAGTTCATGTAGTGTGGTAAATCCACTCGTAAATCCAATCATAAATCTAATTATAAACCATCCCCAATGACTCACAAGAATTGGGTTTTGAACGACAAACCATCCCCAACCTCACCAGAAATTGCTTAGAAGTTGCCAACCATGATGGTCAACATTGGTAAACCCTAAACCCTAAACCCAAGGTTTTACACACATTACCCTAGACTAAGCTGAGATATGGGAAATTATATCCGAGGGAACCATCGCTAAAAACCTTATCTGCTGCGTGCCTGAAACATATTTCAAAAAATGGGGTTTACAACGTCAAACGTACGTACGCCAAAAAACATGGTGTTTAAAACATCAAAATTTACGTAAACAAAAGAAAATATTCGGGTTTACAACGTCAAATGTTACAACAAAATGGGTTTAAAACGTCAAAAAATTACGTCTACAACGTCAACATTTATGTAAAAAACCAAATGCTTTGACAATGTCAAAATTTACGTTAAAAAAATTGGGGTTGCGACGTCAACAACAACGTCAACCAGAGCCAGAAACCTCAGCTGAAACACCCAGGGCCGTTTGTAGAGGAAGGTGCCTGATCCAATATATATACCCATAAAATCCCATAAACTTGCCATCTGAATAGAATATAATCTAGGGGTACCCGCGGGTACTGTATCTTCAAACAAACACAATACAAACACATACTGGTAGCAACCGCAAAATATCGAAAAGTAAAATCCAGTCCAATAATAGTGGTCAATTGAACCTGTTCTGCATCTTTTTGGGGACTTACTGTTGGTTTACCCAACTCCTAGCGAAATAACAATAAATCACACGAGTTACTGTTGGTTTACCTAATTCCTACCGAAGAAAATAGTAAATCATATGTTTTTTCCTTTTTTACTTTCAGAATTATGTGAGGTTTACCATAAGTTTCCTCCATACATCGGGCATCGGGCGGCCTGCAGCTTGCTGGAAGTCCCGGGCTCCAGTGCTGGGACTTTGGGTCGATCGTTGCATTTGAGCACCGCCAGGTCGCCTGGGCCGGATGGAAATAGGCTGACAAAAAGGTCACAGGGGCTATATGTTATATATTATATATATATTAGTTTGCTGATATAAGATACCAAGTATCAAGAAATATCTGTTGACACGCGTTTTTTTACAGTATGCATGCTTGTAGTATACGATATTATATATGATGTATGACCACATTGTATATGAGAACATACTGATTCAAAACAACCATGGTCATGTCTTGTATTGGGCACGACTTGGCCATACATCTGGATGCAGTCCATATGGGCTTGTCCAAGAATAAGCTAACCCCCATAACCCCAAATCGAGAGTAAGTCCCTACCTGAATCCAATGGTGTGCAGCTACGTGGCAGTCAGGTTCAGCACCTACCAGTAGTGCTTCACGCACAGAATGGTCTGCAAAGGTAACTGTGGCTCGATCAGCGTCCTATCGGACTATTGGTAAGAAGGGAAACGAAGACTGAGGTTTTGGGCTTGGGTTGCTCTATCAAAAGTGATGAAAAAAGACAACCACCTGCCGTGGTTTTGATGGTTTTATCGACTATGTATGTATGCTGCATATTATATACAGATAAATAAGTCTGATAGGGAACAATAGTGATAAAACTCCACTATCCAAAATCTTGAATAGTCTTACACTGCTGAAACCACTGAACTGTCCCTCTCCTTGATGACGTGGTAGTTTGTGACAATATGCTCCTGGCGTGACAGGAGCTGGCTGGGTTTGTCCAAAAAAAATCCAAAAAGGCAAGCCGTACACCAAAAATCCAGATCAAATCATTCATTCTCCCAGTGAAAATGGATGAACATGTAACATGGATGAAAATGACCGTACCATGGGGGTACCCAAATGGGATTTGTGGAGAAGTTGTGCTGAAAAACTCTTCGGAGAAAAAGTTACTCTCCTTGTCCCAAAGAAAGCCACTCCCTGTACCCTGAGGAATCTCTTGTAGATCCACAGAAAGGCCCCAGGTGCCACGGATCAGGGCTTTCTGGTTGGCCTTGGCAAAGCCAATGGCCTTGCAATTTTCACATCCCCGGGCCCCAATAATAAGCCATTCCCAAAAATACACCAATTCCCAATTGGGGTTTATTATGGGGAAAAATTAGAGTAGCCACCAAAAGGCTGGTGAATGGGACGGTTTATTCTTCGGCTTATCACCCTAGGGGCTGATCTACCGCTTTTAACTAGAGCTATTCCTACAAGAAGCACCTTACAATTTACAACATGTGTAACATCTGGTACATGTCAACGTAGACGAGTTTACATCTCCATTTCCAACAGGTATGGCCTATGGCCATCCAAGTTATCTAATCCCGTTGACTACAAACCTCCCTTTCAACTTCAACTACGTACATTTATGTACATTTGGTAGCCCATCAAATTGCTTTTGCCCAGGCACGAAAGTGTTGATGTGCACCACTGAGCCACTGCATTGCTTGAAGAGTTCCACAGTCCTCCTCTCTTCCTCCGTCAGTTCCGTGTCATCCGCCCGCACGAAGCCACGCTTCGGCGCCAGCATGGCGCTGGCGCCGGTGGCCAAGGTGATCCCCAAGGTGCGGCCCAGGGGCCGACAAAAGCGGCGCCCCAGCGGCCAAGCGAAATAGGCGAAGTTCATTGGTGAAATTACGAATGGGTCACGTTGAAAAGTGACTTAAAGTGAAGGTTGAACATGAAAGTCCGAAGAAAAACGTTTTCTACAATTGCATGCTCAGAATTTTTCTAAACCTGTTTCTTTGTTCAAGTAGTTGCAACTACTATGACTATGATTCATGTAGCTACTTAATGCTGTTTGGGTGCAGGGAGAGTTGCAAATGAATTATGCATGGGGGACATTGAAGGACCCCTGTTGTGTCTTCTCATGTGCAACCATTCGACCCTCGTGTTCGGATCATGGTTCAGTTTCATGACCAAATGCTCACATTACGCCTCTTGCAATATGTGGTCCAGTTTCATTGGCTGCAAAGCAATGAGCCAAAAAAATCACGTGCCCTTCATCTCCTACAAGTTCTCCAAAATCATACTCAAAATCATTCCCATATGCTCCATGTATGAAATATTTGCTAACATTTGCCCTAAAAATCACCCAAATGTAGGTAAATATATATATAGACGCAACGCCCACCATTTGCTCCCCAGTTTACATGGGGTAGGATGGGATGGGGTGGAATGGAGTGGGGTGGGGATGTTAACGCTCAATCGACCATGTTCCCTCGACCATGCACAAGATGTTGATGCTACGCTCACATGGGGTGGGGTGGGGTGGGGTGGGGATGTTAACGTTCCTTCGACCACGTTCCCTCGACCTTGCGCAAGATATTGATGCTACGCTCACGTGGGGTGGGGTGGGGATGTTATAACGTTCCTTCCACCACGTTCCCTCGACCTTGACCAAGATGCTGATGCTACGTACACATGGGGTGGGGTGTGGTGGGTGGAGATGTTAACGTTCCTTCGACCATGTTCCCTTGACCTTGCACAAGATGTTGATGCTACCCTCACATGGGGTGGGGTGGGGATGTTATAACGTTAGAACGTTCCTTCGACCACGTTCCCTCGACCTTTCGCAAGATGTTGATGCTACGCTCACATGGGGTGGGGTTGGGTGGGATGTTAACGTGTCTTCGACCACATTCCCTCGACCTTTCGCAAGATGTTGATGCTACGCTCACATGGGGTGGGGTTGGGTGGGATGTTAACGTTCCTTCGACCACGTTCCCGACCTTTCGCAAGATGGCTGCTACGCTCACATGGGGTGGGTTTGGGTGGGATGATACTGTAACGTTCCTTCGACCACGTTCCACCTTTCACAAGATCTTGATGCTACGCTCACATGGGGTGGGGTGGGGCGATGGTAACGCCCATTTGATGCTGCGCCCAAGATGATCTAATTATCATGGTTTAAGGTGGGGTGGGGTGGGTGCATTTGCAGCAATTTGCTAGGATTCTGTTAGAGCTGTTCGTTCTAACAAGATTGCTAGAACTGTGCATTTTGCAACGGTTTGTTACAGTAGGATTCTGTTTGAACTTTTAAAGCAACCAAAAGTGCTGGAAATGTGCATTTTGAACCAATGTTCAAGGATTCTGTTAGAAGACGACGATAATCATACCAATGATGTTGTTGTTGATGATGATGATGATGTTGGTAATAATGATAATGATGATAATGATCCCGTCGAACTCTTCCAGAAGCGGGGCAAATGGTGGGAGTTGACCGATTGATCCCGCTCCGGCGACGCTTGTGAGGAAACATCGCTAGGTGAAGCCATGCTCCGCCTCAGCCCGGAGCAAAGGGTGCTGTATCGAAAGAGTAGTTCATTGGGTTAAACCGAAAAAACACGGAAAACATGGGAAAAACATGGGGAAGCCATGTGGGGGTTGTCCAAAATACCTTTTCCCGGACAGCCCTCAATCGCTCAGCCAATCGCGTAGCAACCGCGGTACCACAGTGAGCAATCGCGGAAGGGTTTGTTCTTCGTTGATCAGATCATAGACATAAAATATCATAAAATATAAATTATGTATTATATAATGAATCGTGACAAAAATCTTATGCTAATTCTTTGTAATATCATTACTTTTCTGCTGAATTTGAAACAACTGCTACTGCTACTGCTACTGCTAGTGCTGCTGGTACTATTGTGAGTTTTCCGGACCGTTTCCGGACCGCACAAGCTTATTTTGCTCCCAAATTTGAAATCGAATGCGTTCACGCATGGATCCTTACTCTCATTATAAGACTTGCTACTACTCTTAGTACTACCTACGTATTCTTGGGGGGAGCGATCCAGGGCCCTGCGCGACTTAATGCATACCCCTAAAGGAATGCGTCGAAAACAGAACGGGGCTGGTGATCGGTAAGGAGGATGGTAAGATACCCGAAGCTATTACAATATATATAGTGGCATTATACTGGCAGTCTCCACTATTACATTTCGAAAGTTCTGCCTTTGTTTTTTTCCAAATGACAAAGGTCCCACTGAGGGGTCAGAAATCAGTCAGAAACCAGTCAGAAACCGGCCAAACGCAACCTCTCTCTCTCTCCCTTGCCTATTCCCCCACCCTCTTACCAGAACTCCTACGCCTACCCCTATTCCAATTTCCACTACCACTACTGCTACTGCTACTGCTAGTGCTGCTGGTACTACTGTGAGTTTTCCGGACCGTTTCCGGACCGCGCAAGCTTATTTTGCTCCCAAATTTGAAATCGAATGCGTTCACGCATGGATCCTTACTCTCATTACTAGACTTGCTACTACTCTTAGTACTACCACCACACCCGCTGCTACTGCACCACCACTACCACTAGTACACCTAGGAATTTCTGCCTTTGCTTTTAATTCCAATTGACACGAGTCCGGCTGAAGGGTCAGAAACCAGTCAGAAACCAGTCAGAAACCCGTCAGAAACCGGCCAAACGCAACCATCTGTTTCCCCCCTCCCTCCCTCTCTCTCTCTCTCTCTCTTTCTCTCTTTCCCTCCCTCTCCCTTTCTTCCCTTGCCCTGCTACTAGAACTCCTACTCCGATTCCTACTCCTACTCCTACTCCTACCCCTACTACTACTACTACTACTCCTCCTACTCCTCCTACTCCTGCTACTCCTGCTACTGCTACTACTACTACTACTACTGCTACTGCTACTACTACTACTACTACTACTCCTACTCCTACTCCTACTCCTACCCCTACTCCTACTCCTAGTACTGGTATTACTGTGAGTTTTCCGGAGCGTTTCCGGCAATTTTCTTTTCTTCTCAAATATGAAAACGAATGCGTTCATGGGCAGATCCTTCTACTAGTGCTGCTACTACCCTCAGTATTACCACTAGCGCCGCTACCACTGCAACGCCACTACCACTACTACACCGAGGAATTTTTGCCTTTGCTTTTCTCCACTTGACAAAAGTTCCACGGAAGGGTCAGAAATCAGTCAGAAACCAATCAGAAACCTGTCAGAAACCGGCCAAGCGCGAGTATATACACCTATGACTAACCTATGACTAATTTGGATGAAAGTGTATGGTGGAGCTATACAAAACTCAAACTAGAAAGGAATATATGATTTCGGACCGTTTCCGGACCGCGCGCACTCTGGTTGTCGGCACAACCTGTATACACCTATGGCTAATTTGGATGAAAGTGTATGGTGGAGCATACAACACTCAAACTATAACAGTAATACTAGTAGCAATATCGAAGTAGATTGGCGCGCCGGGCGCCCGGCGCCGGGCGCCCGGCGCGCAGATAGGATAATATTATAGTAGTAGTAGTAGTAGTAGCAGTAGTAGCAGTAGTAGCAGTAGTAGTAGTAGCAGCAGTAGTAGTAGTAATAATATTAACAATAGTAGTATGGATGTAATAACATAAGATTAGTAGCAATATCGAAGTAAATTGGCGCGCCGGGCGTCCGGCGCCGGGCGCCCGGCGCGCAGATAGGATAATATAGAGTAGTATTAGTAGTAGTTGTAGTAGTAGTAGCAGTAGCAGTAGTAGTAATAGTACTAGTAGTAGTATAGTAGTAGTAGTAGTAGTAGTCGTAGTCGTAGTAGTCGTAGTAGTAGTAGTAGTAGTAGTACTAGTAGTACTAGTAGTACTAGTAGTACTAGTAGTACTAGTAGTACCAGCAGCACCAGCAGTAGCAGTAGCACTAGCAGTAGTGGTAGTGGAAATTGGAATAGAAGTCCTGGTAAGAGGATGAGGGAATAGGCAAGGGAGAGAGAGAGAGAGAGAGAGAGGTTGCGTTTCGCCGGTTTCTGACTGGTTTCTGACTGGTTTCTGACTGGTTTCTGACTGATTTCTGACCCTTCAGTGGGACCTTTGTCATTTGGAAAAAAAAGCAAAGGCAGAACTTTCGAAATGTAATAGTGGAGACTGCCACTCAGTATAATGCCACTATATATCTTGTAATAGCTTCGGGTATCTAACTATCCTCCTTACCGATCACCAGCCCCGTTCTGTTTTCGACGCATTCCTTTAGGGGTATGCATTAAGTTGCGCAAGGCCCTGGATCGCTCCCCCCAAGAATACGTCCGGTCCGGGGTACACCCGCTTCTGTTGGTGGAACCGCTTAAAGTGATCGGCAGGAGCTACTAGTAGTAGTAGTAGTAGTAGTAGTAGTGGTAGTAGTAGTAGTCGTAGTAGTAGTAGTAGTCGTACTCGTACTAGTAGTAGTAGTAGTAGAAGAAGTAGTAGTAGTAGTCGTACTCGTACTAGTAGTAGTAGTAGTAGTAGTAGTAGTAGTAGTCGTAGTCGTAGTAGTCGTAGTAGTCGTAGTAGTCGTAGTAGTCGTAGTAGTCGTAGTAGTCGTAGTAGTCGTAGTAGTAGTAGCACTAGTACTAGTACTAGTAGTACTAGCAGTACTAGTAGTAAAAGTAGTACGAGTAGTACGAGTAGTAGTAGTAGTAGTAGTAGTATTAGTAGTAGTAGTAGTAGGAGTAGTAGTAGTAGTACTACTACTACTAGTAGTAGTAGTACTACTAGTAGTAGTACTACTAGTAGTAGTACTACTAGTAGTAGTACTAGTAGTAGTACTAGTAGTAGTACTAGTATAGTACTAGCAGTAGTACTAGTAGTAGTAGTAGTAGTAGTAATAGGGTGGTAGCCGTATAACCAATCGCCAACCAATCGCTCAGCCTATCGCGATGCAGGTTTTAGCAATCGCGCAAAACAAAGTAAACGCATCAATTCATAAATTTGTGACCTGCTTTTACGGACGGCTCCCATATATAATTAGTTTATCTTTTTTGGGCAAACAGCATGGCCAGCTGAAAACACAGAGCCGGCAGAGCCTTGACTTCGAACTGCTTCGTGCCAGGCACAGGTTCTCGGAAAGTGACGCCCAGCAGAGTCTTCCTGGGCAAACACATGGACCACACGGACCACGGAATGAAATCGTCTGGTGTGAATTCGTCGTTTAGGGAACCATTCGTCGGCCCGGCCTGTGATTAGATTAGACTGCGGGGAATCGTTTTTTTTTGAAACCTCTCGGTTTGCCAATTGTGTTTGCATGGCAACCGCTTTGACATCTTTGACTGCTCGCTTCCCTGGATGCTCCCAAGTCGCAATGATTTCCACACCTGCTCAATAAAATCTCAAGGAAACATGGCCAGCTCACGGTCTCATCTGGGGTCAATGGAACAGTTGAATAAGCAATTGGATCATGCAAAATCCTAGTGTATAGTGTATATGAACAGTTCAATCAGTTTCAAAGGATGGCGGTTTTGCTGAAGGTTTAGGGCTGTTGTGTTGCAGTCAGTGGATCTGTGCCAACATCGCCAGTTCAGCGATCCAACCCTTTCTGGCAGCTGGGGTTTGATGCTAAGCTCCTTGCAGCTACCGCAAAGTTGGTTGCCTCCTCACTTTCTGTATCAAACCTGACAAGATTCATCAAAGATCATCAAGGCAAGTCTATCTCTGGTCACCTTCGGAAAACATATCGCCCACCAGGCCAATCCCATCACAAGGGAAATGCACAGAGTGCGAACATGTTGAATTTCTGGGCTAACCCCCCCCGTCTACCCAACATGGGGTATCAAAGCACCATCTTGAATTTTGAGGAAAAAGGTGACATTGTTGCTGTCCAGCCACACAAAGACCGCATCATCCATGGTGGCTCAGCAAAGCTCAGCGAACCCTCCTGTCAAAGTCGCTGTTTGGCCGAAACTCAAGTTCTGCCTGTGATTTCTAGTGACTCTAGTGATTCTAGTGCCTATTGCTGTGGCATGCTGTGTTTCTTCTGAGTCGTTGCCAAAGCCTCGTGTACCAGTGTACTGATCGGAGCGAGGCCAATTTCCTGAGACAAACCCCCGAAATCACTGATTTTTCGTTGCCCTACTACAACGCTTGCAAAAATACATCCACAGCCGAGTGCACACATCGTCTCTCTTGATGAGTCTTCTGTCTTCTCATCAAAAAAATGCTGACTTTCCTTCGATTCCAACAATGTCTGTCACCACCTTCCAGTCACACAGAACTGCAACAGCACTACAGCAGACGACAGCTGGCAAAAGGAGATGAGCCGAGCTTCACCTCTGCCGCTTGAGCCCAGCTTTCTCAATTGTTTGAACCAAATAGCTGAAGGCTTTGCAAGGCACTGGAGTACAGTATGTAAAATAGTGCTTGCATCAGCAGATTCCAGTCCCTTCCAAAGGCGCAACACAAGGTGAACGTGACACGTGTTGACATGTGTTGACATGTGTCTTGACATCTAGACTAGAGTCGAGATACTTTGAGCTGTCTGCCTTACATCCCATGCCAAGATTTGAGAAGCAGAGTCAGAGTCACAAGTTGCCCTTTTTGAGGCATGATCGAAATCCCCCGGAAAACTATGATTTGGACATTTTTCCACTCAAGCGAATCGCATCAACTGCTGCCTACAAGAAAACCGAATGCTTGGCATGTTTGTTTTCAAAACGAACCAAATTCGTCATACGGTATCCACCTCGCCGACGGATCTCATTATGCTGACGAAGGTTCTATGGAAGCCTATTATGGAATTCGAGGAATAATCGGAAAACCCACTGAGAACAACCGTTGCCATAGTTCCTTTAGGAATCTAAAAGATATACATGGGCATGTGCTCGATGTGCTCGATTGCTTTGCAATCACAGGTGGCGAATTCCCTTCTGTATCATTTGTCTGTGGGCCAAGGATGTCTTTAAATGATACCGGGATATTGTTGTGATGGGCACGGAGTGACCACACGTTTCCTTTCAAATCACGAATTAGCAAGTTTGAAGACTGGTCAAAGCAAATTTCGTTTGGAGGCTCAGGCAGAATGATCAGATGCAAGAGTTCACCCTTGAGGTGGAACGACAGCCCTTGAGCGCAACCTTCAAGTTGTAATCCAAAAGCAGGCTGTGGTAAGGCCTGCCAGGCATCTTTTGGATGTCGATCCTGCAAGGTATTGATGGAATGTGCTCCTGTGTTGTCCAAGAATTCTGACCGATGCCGTGAAGCATACCAAGAGTAGAACTGCCTCGCTTTCAATGACACTGCTGCCTCAAAAAGGCTCAAATGGGCTGACGCCAGGAAAGTCTCACAGGGGGTCACGACCATAGATGTGCCCATGCCCATAGGAGGCCGCAAATCACAGCGTACAATGCTCACATTGCAAGCCAATGCCCACCATTGGAGGCGTCTTTGAACCGGCTGCAGTGCATGGGAGCGCTGTCCATGTCCGCGGTGTGGAATGTGGGCTGGGTTCACAATGATGTCACAATTCTGGGCTGTCTGATACAGAAGCGTGTCATCTTCAATGTCTAGACAAATCAGAATCCCGATTCGACCCATGGGCGTTGTAAAAATCCCCAGACTGGGAGATTTTGCCTCAAGGGCTCCTAGCATTTGCTTGCGGTACGAACCTATTAGGCCATCTTGTCCGACCAGGGCACAGGTCTGCCACGACTGACCAGATGGATCACGTTCAACCATGGATCCAGCCGCTATGATCACATTGTTCTTCTTCGCAACCCCTTGCAGTTCCGCAACTGCAGGATGGTTGTCATCACAGACTCCAGGCTCTAAAATTGCACCTTCTCCCAGGACAACCAATCTAATCAATCTGCTAGCGAGCCCAGAGTCTGTTTTCTCTAGTGCTCGGTTCAAATAATCAGCCCAAGCCTTGGCTGGCCTAGGCGACTCCGCTACAACAACCACCCTTCTAAGATCTGCAGCATCAATAGCAGCACTTCCCGGTCGCGATGAAAGTTTCGGTGACTTGGGCCTCTGGTTCCGAACCTCGGCCTCGGCCTCTTTGGCCTCTTTGGGCTTCAAGTGATACGGAACAGGCTTCGCAACCGCTGCCTTTGATTTGGGGGGTCCCGGTCGACCCCGAGCCATTGCCATAGCTGCGGCGCGCAGCTTGAGGCTATGGCTTCGGAATTTTGGCTTGTGATTTGTAAATATTTGTCAGATTTTGTAAGCACAAGCACAATTCAACAAGTTCTTCAAAAGCTCACCTCCTCTGCATGCAAATAAGCACAAAATAGCACAAAAAACAAACTCACCACGAAGTCAAAACAAAAAACAAAAATGTCGAAGCGCTTTGCACTGACAAAGACTTTGGTCTTAGGAGCCAGCCCAGATCCGGCAAACCTTCGTACTGGTACCCGAGGCCTGAAACCCAATACAGAAATTGCAGAAATTGCTGAATGGATCTGAACGGTATAGATGTGAGAAGTGCTGTGCGGCAAACCAAGGATAGGGAGATCTGTTGAGAGACCTTTAGGGAGACGTAGATGATGCAGTGAGAGATGTTGCCATTCCATCGATGCCAACCAAACAAATGAGGGGGATCAGGAAAAAGTCGAAATTGTCAAAAGATTGGAGGCAAGTGCGAGCACCTGGCCTGGAAACCAGACCTTGGTGAGAACGTGATGCCGTGTTTGGCTGAGTAAAAACCTTTCTGAAACAACGGCTGCATCCAGGTGCATCTAGCAAAATGATCGTATGAATAATGCAGTGCTCAACAGCCCGGCCTGGAGGAAAGATCTTCTGCCATCTGCCAATGAAGATGGTTCCGCCTCGACAAAAACACGGCAAATATGCATTTCAACAGCAGCATCATTTACATTGTAATTGTTTGATGTTGTTTGATTTTGTTCCATGCAAGGCCTCGC